GCTCAGGAAGCAGAGCCCTGGTAGACGTTTGCCGGGACTCTCCAAGACATCAGTCCCAGGGCAATTAGGAGGATCTGGGATGCCTGAAAAAGCCTTCTTCAATCACTTCCTCACCACCGCTCTCCGGATGCTCCCTGTGAGGAGGCAAATTAAGGATCCTTAAAGTTGCATCTCTCAACAGGCAATCAGAGCTCCTCTCGGCAGGGAAGAACGTTCATCAGCAGTCGCGCAGGTCCTCGCACTGAGATAAACGCCACGTCGGATGGTGCCTCCTTCCAGCAGAAGACCTCTTTGCATGCAGAAGGCAGCACGCACACATGCTGCAAGGATGAATTTCGGGCGGCTCTCAGCTGTGTCACCTGTATGGATGCACAGGCTGGGGAGACATGGGAAGACAGAGGTAACCTGCTCCATGTCCAGGCGCACCTACAGACCAAGCGAGGTTTTGGAGGTACCGCTTGGCTCTGGTGGGATGTTCCCAGAGGAGCACTGCGTTCCCGCAGCTCCAGATGCCGTTTTTCCCAAGGGAAGGGGAGCGCCAAGGGCATGTGAGAAGAGAGGCAGCTCAGTCCTGGTGTACTTGGGTTTTGGAGCTCATTTGTTCAGCAGCTCCTTACAGCCGTCGCAAATGGATGCTGTTAAGTAGAGAGACGAGCTCCAGAGCTCGGTTATTTACAGCTCACTGCAGCTGACTTGCACCGCCTCCGTGGGGAGGGCTGGGGGGGGAGAAGGAAAACCCTCTGGAATGAGAGCCAGGAAGTAGAAAAATCCCTCCCTGCCTTTTTTCCCACCTGTTGTTACAAATCCTGAGCCTGACGTGTCGATGAACATGGGTTTGGGGAAAATCCGGGAAGCAGCAGGGAAATATCCGTGGGTTTAGGTGGGGACCGTGTGGAAACGTGGCAGGAGCTTCTCCTCGCTTTGACCTTCAAATGTGAGTTTAAAGCTGAAGCCAATTCTCCCCAGCCAACTGAAAACAAAAGAGCTTTTTGGCCTCGCTGTGCCCAGCTCCGTCCCCGGAGCATTTACACAACGTGCTCTGTTGAGTCTTGCTCCTCCTGGGTGCTCTTTGCCTCTGATGTATGAAGCGAAAGATGATGTTAAAAACCAAATGTCCTCCTGAAATGTCTCGGGCACTGCCTGATGGGTCTGGTTTCCCCAGTCCACGAGAAAAAAAGATTTGCAGACAGACCCCACGTGTAGTTACGGGAGATGCGGTGGGAGAGATGTCTTCCATGAGCACCGTCTCTGCACCGCTCCGTGGGGTTTCCAAGCCCAGCCTTGGCTGTTGGCACCTGCAGCGCTCACCGCGGCAGAAGGCGAGTCCTGGTGGGGAAGGCAGAGCTCCTGGAGAGCGTGGCGAAGAGCTGCCGCGGCGGGGAAGGAAAGGTGGTGACGTGCCTGTGGAGGACCTTCAGAGCCAAGACAAGAGGCAGGACCAAAGTGCAAGCAGACGAGTCCCGGGCTCAGAGATGATACAGCCCATGCGCTGGCTCTCTCCTGGCTGCCCACGCCTGTGCTCAGCCCATGGACACATCCAGCCCAGCACTGTCTTTTGAGCTGCTTTGATTGGCAAGTGCTTAAAGCTCCCTCAGTTTTTATTTTCACTTGCTTTGGGCTGTTGGTTTGGTTTTTTTTTTTATTTATTTTAATAGTAGGGCTCGCTTTCATGCTGGTTACAAGATATACGTGGCTTGCAGCTACTCAACCAGGCGTTGCAGCCAGTTTGCAGTTGTCAGCTGCTTCGTCCCATGGTTTATTTAGTGTTTTTTCTCCTCTCCCCACCCAAGATGGAGCTGCCTCTTAAGGTGTTTTCCTCTAGGTCTGTTCTGCAGGAGCAGATGCACAGTCATCAGAAAATCTTCGGGCGTCTCTAAGGCGGGTTGCTTTTATGGTACGGGTGATGACTTGTCTCTAGGCTCATCCATGCTCACGGAGGGTTAACTTCACCTTCTCTTTTTTTTCTCATTCTGTATCACTCCTGAATTTTTTAAAGCAGCTTTGTCTGCTTCAGTTCCTCCACGTGCTTTGCGCATCTCACCCATTTCTGCCCGGCTCTGTTTCCTTCTTCGCTCCTCAATTCCCTCGGCCGCTCGTCCGGCTGCTTTTGAATCTGTTCCCCTCCCCTGCTCTCCTTTCTCCCCTTATGCAGCAGCCTCCTGCTCTGCACTCTTCTCTGCCAGCTGTTTATCCAGCTGTGCAATGGGCGTCATGTCTGTAGGATGCTCGTCCTTCGCAGTCCGGTGCGTGATCTTCACCGAGGGGTGACCTCTCAGGGTGGCACCTGAACCTCCCTCGGATGCCGGTGCCCGCTCAGCCGTGCCGCTTGCTCACTTGTTTCATCCAGATTTGAAGGGATGGGAAGGGGAGAAAAGCCACTCAGCCATCAATCATCCTTCAGCCTGCCCGGACTGAGATTTGCCATCCAGCTCTCATGTAAAATTATTGCATCTTCCCTCCTCCTCCTCCCTCGACACTTTGCTTCAGCATCCCAAACCTTCCCATTTCAGAGCAGGGCTTGTCTCTGGCTGAGGTGGTGTTGCACAGGTGCTGTAGGGCGAGCAGTTGGGAGAAGTTTTAGATCATTATAAATTTGGGTTTATTATTGCGATGGTGAGGGTTTAACACTCCTTAACTCCCTCCCCTTGGCTTGATAACTCACGTTGTCTTATCTCAAGATGGACTGAAGCGGCTGCCGTGGTGGGAAGCAGCGTGGGAGCCCGGCAGCCATCCAGAAACCTCACCCAAGGGTCTGGGGGCCCCTCACCACCCAAATGCCCCAGCGGATCCTGAATTGCCACCCGTTGCCATGGGATGCTGGTACCTAAGTGCTCCGAGGATTCGGAGTGCAGAGGGACCACTCAAGGAGGGCATCCTCCCTGGGCAGTAGCCACCGGCGATGCCCCATGGCTTTGACACGCAGACCACTAAATAAACAGCTGAATTGTGTTTTGTTAGAAAAGAAGATAAAAATAAAGCCCCGCTCTTTTGCGCAGAGTTATTCTCACACAGCAGAAAATAGAGCTGGTATGGGATGCCTGCCTGCAGCGTACTCCAGGAGCTGCAAAGGCACTAGCTGGCACTCTGGGACCAAGGCAGGGATATTATTTTTAGCCAGGCTCAGTAAATCATTCCTCTGAAGGTTGGTTTGGTTTTTTTACTGTCCTTTTCCCTTCCCGTTCGCCAGCAACGTTGCACTGATTGTGCACAGACTTGGATGGACGTCAGCAGCATCTCTTCCTCCTCCGGTCCCCAACCAGAAGGCACCGTGTAGCAGGGACGTGTACTCAGAAGCGAATTAAATCAGAGATGAGCATTAAATCTGCAGCCAGAGATGAGTTTCACCGCGCTTGTCCCTGGGCTTCATCGGAGATGGGTGTTTGTTTCCGAGTGTGGCACCGTGCAGATAATTTTTACGGTGGCAGCGGCGGGGATCTGGCTGGGAGCTGGGGGGTTATTCCCCAACTTCCCCCCATGCCCTTACTCTTTTTGTAAACCAAAAAACTGGGAATTTAAAGTCCAAAGACGAGTGTCAAGTGATCAGCAGGCAACAAATCTGCGTCCTTACTTATTTATGACTTACCTGGCATATTTTGAATAATTGATTTTTCTAGCGTCAGGCGCTTGGGAGGGTAACGGAGGATGATGCTGCAGGGTCAGAGGGATGTGAAGAGGGAAATAAGACCCTGAGAAGGAGGTTCTGAAGAAGCTGGTTGAGAGCGGGGTCGCTTTGACATCCAACTTTGCTTTGGCAGATGCCCCCTGCCCGAAAGGCCGCGGGGGGAGCTGTGGTTGTGCCACGACCCGCCGCGGCAGAGCCTAACCCCACTCACCCCTCGCCTTGTCTTCCAGCCCACCACTTCATCGCGGCGACGGCGTGCCAGGAGGCGGACTACGGCTGGATGATCCGGCACTACTGCCTGAAGCAGTTCCAGCTCAGCATGGAGGGCATTGGGCAGCGGCTCTGGTGCCACTGGGATGAGACCGTGGGGTAAGTGAGGTCCCTCTGCTCACTCCTCCCTTCCCGGTGTCTCAGGACCACCTGCACTCATCTTTTTTGGGGTGTAAGAAGGTCAGCAGTGGGTTTTATTTCATGGGGGGGGACACACAAATGTGCCATTTCACTCCACTTTTCAAGTGTTGATGATGCCCTGGCTTGCATCAGGGAAAGATGTAAGGTCTTGCACCAGGGAAAGAACAACCCCTGGGGACCACCCAGCTGGCAGAAAAGGAGCTGGGGGGTCCTGATGGACACCAAGTAGAACTTGAGCCAGAAACATGTCCTTGCCAGGTCCATCTGAAGGGGCTTCCCCATCCTGGTCTCTTGTGAAGAGGCCACAAGGCAGGCTTGGAGGGGAAAGCAGTGGACATTGTCTACCTGGACTTCAGGGAGGCTTTTGATATGACAAGCTGGTGAACCGTGGGCTGGATGAGTAGACAGTGAGGTGGGTTGAAAACTGGCTGAATGGCCAAGCCCAGAGGGTGGTGGTCCTTGCACAAAGGCTAGTTGAAGGCTGGCAACTAGTGGTGTACCCCATGGGTCAGTGCTGGATCCAGTCCTGTTTCACCTCTTCAGTAATGATCTGGACGATGGGGCAGAGTGTACCAGTGCTGCACCAAGTTCACTGATGACTCTAGACTGGGAGGAGCAGGTGACTCACCAGAGGGTCATGCTGCCGTCCAGAAGGACCTCCACAGGCTGGAGAAAGGAGCATCATGAAGTTCAACAAGAAGTGCAAAGTCCTGCACGAGGGAAAGAACAACCCCTGGGGACCACCCAGCTGGAAAGCAGCTTGGCAGAAAAGGACCTGGGGGGTCCTGATGGACACCAAGTGGAACATGAGCCAGAAACATGTCCTTGCAACAAAGAAGGTGAATGGTATCTGGGGCTGCATTAGGAGGAGCAGTTCCAGGAGGTCAAGGGAGGTGATCCTTTCTTACCACTCACCACTGGCCAGGCCACCCCTGGAGTGCCGGGTCCGGATCTGTGGGAGAGAGACAACTGCAGAGAGTCCGACAAAGGGCTATGAAGATGATGAAGGGTCTGGAGCATCTCTCCCAAGAGCAGAGGCTGAGACAGATGGAACTGTTCAGCCTGGAGAAGAGGAGGGTCAGGGGGATCTTATTAAGGTATATAAATGCCTGAAGGGAGGGTGCAAAGAGGATGGAGCCAGGCTCTGCTCAGCGGTGCCCAGTGACAAGACCAGGGGCAATGGGCACAAACTGAAGTACAGGAGGGTCCCTCTGAACATCAGGAAATGCTTTTTCACTGTGAGGGTGACCAAACACTGGCACAGGTTGCCCAGAGAGATTGTGGAGTCTCCATCCTTGGAGACACTCAAAAGCCATCTGGATACGGTCCTGGGCAACCGACTCCAGGTAGTCCTGCTTGAGCAGAGCCTTGGACAAGATGAGGTGGACCTCCAGAGATCCTTCCAACCTCAGCCATTCTGTGATTAGATGGGCTTTCAAGGAGCCCAACCTAAGCAGTGTTTGGAAATCAGGATGGTGATCTTGGTCTGTACAATTATGTATGTGTGGAGAAACCACACGCCCCAGTGGCAGAGCTTCAACAGGAGAAGACTGCTCTTCTTGCTGTCTGCTACATGCTGGGTAACAATGTGTTAATAAGGCAGTAGATCGGGATCCCTGTCACAGCTCCGTTACCTCTTCTGGTGACTCACTTCTTGATGGACATATTTTCCATGAGATTATTTTTTTGTTGTTGTTCCCAGCACTCAGGTTCTCCAGGCAGTCCAAAATGCCCTAACTTAGCTTGAAAACTCCATAACCCACTGAGATGCCCTCAGACCCTCTCTATGAAAAAATTCCAGGCCGTCTCACCAGACCTACTACCTCGCCCTCTGCTTCCAAAAGTTGCGTGTTGATTTTTCTTAGCAACTAGAGGGAGAGGCTGGCACGGCACGGCACGGCAGTCTTCTGCTAAGCCTCCTGTTTGTAATCAGTGTCAGGGAAATAGCGGTGATTTATGACTCGGGAGAAGCGGAGATGTGGTCTGCTTTCCTGGTCAAGTGCTTGGCGGCATCCTTGGAGGGGATAATGAGGGCGATAAGGGAATCCTACTTAATGCAGGAGCATCAAGGAGAGCAGGGATGTTGCATATGGGGAACGTGCTGCTCTCTGGGTTTGTTTTTGGCCTTTTTGGCATAATTTTTGGGTTCTTTTTATTGCAAACCTGCGTGATGCTTTCTTTGGATTCCTATTTAATAATCATCAGAGGTGAATTTTTTCACTACCACGGTGGCATAAGTCGTTCTCCTGGCAAGATGGTTTGGATTGAAGTTGCAAAGACCGGTCAGGGGAGTCTGTGTGTTGGCATGAGGGCCTGAAAAGAGAAAGTAAAAACTTGTTCTCCGCTCTGAGCTGGCTTTCCGCATCGTACAGCGTCGTTGTGCCGTGGCTTTTCTCCGGGAAGGCAAAGCGGTGGACGAAAACGAGCTCTTGAGACTCAAGGCAGGGATTGAGATCGGTTGGAAATGGCGAGCAGATGTCGCCATACGCCACGAGTGTTTTGCACAAAAATGAGAGTTTTTGTAAGATTTTGGTTGATTTCCTGCTTTGTGCCCCTATCTTCTGTGCCAAATTAAAAATATGTATATATGTGTATGTAAACAGGCATATATATATACACCTATATATATATAGCTTTTGAAAAGGACAGCCTGTTTTTTCCTTCCCCTTTACTGATGACAAAATGGAGGGGAAGAAAAGAGAGAGGAAAGACTGTGGGAGGTTTTCTGGTTCTGAGAAACCTCATCTGGTCCTCAAAAACCTCCAGGGCTGCTGCCATTTCTCCAGCCCTTGGCCATCTTGGAGGTCTCCACGGGACCTGTCCCCCTCTGTCGACACCTTTGGAGGCAGCATCCAGATGCAGTCCAGATGTGGTGAGCGGCAGGAGAAGGGGATAACCACCTCCCTGGTGTCTCCTGGCTGCGCTGGGGGTGAGCTCCCACCCCTGGGGCCATCCCAGCAGTGCTGTCCCCTACCGGGGCTGTCCCCATGATGGGGCTGTGTCCCAGCAGCAGGACTTTGCTTTTGGTCCTGGTTTGGTGCTATCTGCAAGCCTGATGAGACACAATCCATCTCCTCCTCCAGACCTTCAGTGAGGCCATTGCACAGGAAGCAGAGGTGTATTAGAGAGTTTGTTCTTTATCCCTGACGTCCTGTTTTTCTTCTAAATAGCTTCTACTAAACTTGTTAGCCTTGAGGCACTTGGAGGAAATGTTGATAAACTTGCAGTGTTTAATTTGATTGTGTGGGTCCATTTGCTCCGTGCGAACACAGGACTCGGCGTTATTTAAGAGATGACATTCCTCTGATTCTCCCGTGCCCTCAGGACACCGGGAAAATCAAGTAGCAATAGTTCAGCTGCTGTAAATAAGCTGCTCTGCAAGGACATAGGTTTGGGGTGGCCACCTTGCTCGACACCCCTGCTCCCTGGGTGTGTGTGGGACACACCATCCCTTTTCAGAAGGAAAAGGAGTGTTAGGAGATGTCCCAGCAGGAGCGGGCAGGAGATGGCATGGGCTGGCTGGTCGCCCCTCCAGCTTCAGGGAGAAGGACTTGACTTCCACCAGGCGTGAAGCGAAGAAATGGCAATAAAGCTCCTGCCTAGAGCCTTATCCCTTCTCCATATCTTTCCCCAAACTGAGGAATTTTGATGCTTGAAGCCTGTCTGAAACGAGAATGAGAAATACGTGAAGGTTTTGCTTCTGACAGGTCCGGTACCATCAGCAGCATCGCGTTCGGAGCTGGGATTTCTCGTATGCAGCATTTAGCGGAGAAGTGCCCGTTAGGCCCATCGTTTACTGCTCAATTGAGAATGACATGATGGGAACATCTGGATAAATGAATCGTCTGAGCAGAGTTTGTAATTGTGGTTTATTGGTCCTGTTTGTAGGCTGCAGATTATCCTCCCATCTTACCCTCAGGAGTATTAACCTGGCGCTGGTACCGCTGCGTTCAGACGTAACGGAGGGGTCTCTCAGGAGCAGGAGTGTTTGCTGAGGTTGGGCTTGGGCCATAGGAACAAGAACCAACTCTCTGAGAAGGTTTGTCCGACACTGCTGAGCTCTGCTGGCTTTCTTAGCCGTGCTTATTTGGGGAAAGTTGATGTCTTTTGATGTGCAAAATCATGGACCAGGGCGACTTTGTTACACACTTCAGGAATGGGATGCCAGGTGGTTTTTAATAAAATAATTAGTTCCAGAAGCTGGCCCTGAACGCTGTCTCCTGGGAAGGGAGAAAGGCTGCTCTGAGAGGTGTTTTCCCTTGGGTTGTCTGGTTTCCTTCCCTCTCTTCCTCCCTGAAGGACAAATGATCCGGTGTGGCCTCGGATGTTCCTGCTAGAGCAGCCCACTTACCCACTCATGTGCTGCAAGCGGGTCTCTCCAGCCCCTCCGTGGCATCATTCCATGGATCCCTGGCCTGAGAGCAGTTTAGACCAAGCACCCTGGTGTTTTATTTTCCAGGGCTTGCAGACACCCCGTTATTTAAAGCTGGAGCCATCTCCTCTACTTCATGGTGGTGGTCGAGCTGCTTTGACCGGGAGCTCAGCTGTGCATGACTAATTATCCCAAAGATCAACTGGGCTATTTTGATTCCAGGTCCAGATTCATCGGCGTGGCGATTGAGCCGGGGGATTAGCTGTGGTCTCCCTCGGGGAAGCTATTTTGGGGGAGGTGGAGCGCTGCTGGCAGAGCCGGAGCTGCTGGAGGGGGTCAAGCTGCCAGCTGCTTGCCCACGAATGCATCAGCAGGAGCCAAGGGCTTGTAGATATTTTTCCTGGGTGGCTTTAGCTCGCCAGTGGGGTCTTGGCATGCGGATTTTTGCACGGCGTTGGTGCAGCGGGCAGCAGCATCCGGGACGGGAGGATGCTCGCGCTGGGGGGGCCCGCAGCTGCGGGTGTCACCCCAGCCGAGCCAGGCGCCTTCATCCCAAATATATCCGCCCCCTGGCATGCCTAAAAAC